GCTGTGTGTTGTGGTTTGTGGACTTTTAGGTTAATTGTGGGTTTTTTTTTTTTTTTTTTTTTTTTTAAGGGCGGTGATATAACTAACCACGATGGAACGGGTGGACGATCAATTTATGGAACAGCATTTGAGGATGAGAATTTTGAAGTGAAACACACTGGTCCTGGATTGTTGTCAATGGCAAACAGGGGCAGGGATACAAATAATTCCCAGTTCTTCATAACACTTAAAAAAGCAGAACACTTGGACTTCAAGCATGTGGTATTTGGGTTTGTGAAAGATGGAATGGATGTTGTGAAAAAGATTGAATCCTTTGGTTCTCCTAAAGGGCTAGTAAATGGAAGAATTGTGATTACAGACTGTGGGCAAATATAGAATTATTGCTTTGCGTATACAGATGTCCTAGCAGTATAAATCAGTATTTAGGTATTATTGACTAATTATTTCAACTTCTTAAAATGGACACTTCTGATGTATAAATGTAAAATTACAGCTTATGGTTGGGGTTTTTATGTGTTCTAATTGATTTTTTTGCATGTTAAATAAAAAGTTCAGACACTGGCATATTTCGGGTGTATTTGTGTTATCCTGACATATTTGTATTAAATGTCAAATTTTAAAAATTAAATCTTAGTCTTGTTAAAATAAATGTCTTGTCTTCACTCTGGTTTGTTTAAAAAAAAAAAAATACCCAAACAAACTTGCATAATTTGGCTTCCGGGTTTCATAAGTATCTTTTGAATATGCGAACTGTAGTGCTAAGTGCGGGTCAGTAAACGCTGAAGGCCTTTGAGCGTTACTGTTTTGATGTGCAGAAAGCAAGCTGAGGGAGCTAGCAGGTGGATGCTGGTTCTCTGAACAGCACTTCAGTACTTGAAAGCTGGAGAACAGTTCTTAAATGTTTTGAGTGATATTTTGCTAGAGCAGTGTACCGACTTTTTGTTTCGTACATAGAATCTCTCTAAATGACCTAGTGAAAACCATTTACTCGACACGGGGACGTTCCCTGAAATGCTGTCGTATAGCCCGCTGCTGCTGCTCTCTTCTCAAGGCGGTTTTTAGCTCCCCTTCCCGTGGCAGACTTCTGCACAACTGAACTGCTCTAGCATTAGACTGTAAAACAACGTAACAAAAGCGCTGCCCTTTACCTGCCCCCCGAAGCCGGCGGTGGGGCGGGGGCCCTCCTCCGCCCGGCCCCGGCCCCGGCCCC